GGTGCTGGTGCTGGTGCTGGTCGTTGCGATCCGGGCGGCGTCGACAGCAGAGGCTGTGCCGGCTGTCAGGCTTCATGTTGAGGGCGGCGATACTGCCACTGATGCTCGGGTTTGTACTGCTTGCGCCGCGGCTGCCATTGTTGCACTGTTGTCGCTGCGGGTGCTGGTCGATGTTGTTGTTGCATTGGTGTGGCTGTGGCTGGCTCGTACAGCTGCACTGTGGTGGTTGCTGTGGTGCTGGTGCAGCTGCGACGGCAGTCATCTATTCAATTTTCAACGCTGCTGAACACTTGCCACCCTTGAATCACTTTCGATATCTGGTACCAGATACCCCCCCCGACCCCCGCGACTGACGACTCAATCACAACTTGTCGTGATAAGCATGATGATACCGACGACGACGACGATGAAGATGCTAGCTCACTAATATGGCTTTCGTAGTGTAGTGTCACTATGTCCTATAACTATGAAAACTGACTTTCAGTGGCTCTCGGACTCTGAACCGGAACGGGCCGTACTTGCCGCCGAGCAACTGCTAAGATTCGCGAGCCTGCATCAAAACAAGAGTCCAAGCTATGGAACGATTGAGCATGGCAATCCACATTTTTTGCTTGTCCGAGAGCATCAGACACTGCATAGCCACAGCAACAGGAACCAACAGGGCACCACCACTACCACCACCGCCACAACAACAACAACAGCAGCAACAACAACTGAAACAGCAGCAGCAGCGGCACCAGCAACAACAACAACAACAGCAGCAGCAACAACAACAGTAAGGGTGCACCGGTGGTAACGCTGATTGCTCCTATCTGCGATACTTTGGTATTCAAAACCAGATCACACCAAAGCCTGAGTATGCCAAGGAACGATTGCCTGAGTAGACTTTGAAGGAGTCTGATTGGGGTTTTGGCTTCGTTGGCTTCGCCCCATGCCATGTCTATACAACACTTGCAATCAGACTGGCAGTAATGAAATGTCCAACGATATCAGAAGGTGAAGCAATGTACAGCGTGCATAACATAACAAAGTAGGTCACAAGCTGGCAGCAAGTACAAAGTTGATCAGCCCTTGCTTCCCATCAGATTCCGTAGCTTTGTTAGGCACGGTCTGGAATCTGATGCCGTCCCCCCCGCTGAAAATTCGCATCATTCTCTTTGCTGTTGGCTTGATGTGCGTGACGACAACTCCGCAGAGGACCCTTAGTTTAGCTGTCAGGGTGTAAGAACAAGAACAAGACCCAAAAACAACAAAAATAATAACAGCATCAGCAGCAGTAACAACAACTACACCAACACCAACAGCAGCAGCAGCAGCAGCAGCAGCAGCAACAACAACAACAACAACAGCAGCAGCAGCAGCAACAACAACAACAGAGAAAAATGAAACGGCAACACCTTCTCACTGGTTATCTACCGCCTGCGCTACGACGACGACGATTACTGCTACCACTGCGGCGACTACTTCTGCTGCTATTGCTGCTGCTACTACGACTACCACCACCACCTCTACCGCCTCTACTACCTCCGCTACCTCTACTACCTCAGACTTCCTCTATTATCTCTACTACCTCTACTCTACTACCTCTATTACTTACTGCTCCTACTACTACTACTACTACTACTACTACTACTACCCCCACCACCACCACCGCCACCACCGCGACCATGACCATTGTGCCACTACCGTTAACAACACTGCGTACTACGTACTACTACTCTACTACCACCACCACCACGACGACGGTTTACACTTCAGACTGCAACTCGTTCTCTATCATGCCTTGCATAGACTCGCAAACTCCCTATGCGTCATACCACCGCAGATGCCCCGTGATCGACCATCCCTCTGCGACCCACGTACTTCACCCATGCTCCGAAAACTGAGCGGCCTCGGCTGGCTGCGCGGAGGGGCAGAGCGTCGAAGATCGGCAGGCGCTCGAGAACCTGCGTGCTTTCGCTTGGCTCCTTGCTGCATCCTAAATCTGAAAATCCCAAGGCACAAACCACAAACCAAAAAACCCTTAAACCCAAAACCCCCTGCCTTGCTCAGCAGCCACTCATGGGCTTCCTGCACTCCGTTCAGATTGGAGGGCTAGGGTTTTGGGGGGGCTTTGGGGCTGTAAGGAGTGTACGGCTCAAGGGTTCCAAGGCTCGGATTTAAGGTTCGTGTTTCAAGGCTCTGGGGTTTGGTAGCCTTAGGGTTTAGGTTTGGAGCTTTCTGTCAGGCCTTGGGGTTTAGGGCTCAAGTGAGGATGACGACACCATGGACCCCAACTCAGGAGGATCCTCATGGTTAGTGGCACGTTCCGGGCTGCAGGGCAGCACACTGTGGTTGGGAGCAAAGGGCTTTGACTTGGGCGGATGGGGCCTACTTTTTGAAGGTACGGGCTGGTGGCTGATGGCCTGCTCGACGAGTGACGAAAGCATTCTACCGCAATGCTGCGCCCTGATTGTTGTAACAGTGCTCATCACTGTGTCTTGCTCCTTCTTTTGTGGTTGTTATCAATGCGTACTGTCACTCATGCTCAGTCATGCTATCCGTACTAGTTCGCTGCAAGCAATGCTTCTCATGATTGTGAACCTTGCCATTCTTACTGCATCCGGCATACGTCCAATACTCAAGCTTTCGCTCCGACCAGTACCTAACCATCACTGCCACCGCCACCACCAGCATCCACCAGCATCCACCAGCATCCACCAGCACCACCACCACGACTACTATTCCTCCTCCTTCTCCTACTCCTGCTCCTGCTCCT